CCAAATGAGGCGTCTGTGGGCCTCGCATGTATTATTTCCGAGTACAACGGCCATCAGGCGTCAGGGGGATGAGGGACCGACAATTCCGGAAATGTTGGTGGAAACACCAAAGTGGATGGAAGAATTCTGCGCAGACGGCAAGTTCCAGGGTCGGGGATGCAGAGACATTCGAGAAAACCATCCAAGACCATTCATTGACGTTGACCCTGTCCGCTTTCTGTCTCCTGTCATCTTTCTGTTTCTGATGGACATCCTGGCATCTCATCCTTGACTTCTGGCTCCCTCCACGGCCAATTCCCTGGGTCTGTGCAGCAGGATAGTTTGAGAGCACATGCCAGGAGGTGATTTGTACACTTTCTGCCTGTAGCCTAGATACTGGGGACCTATGATGTCTTGTTTCTGGCGTCACCGACAGTCCCAATCCACATGGCTACTGGTATAGTCGTCCTCGTAGGTCCAAGGCGGAAGATGGCGCAAGTTTTCCCAAGCGATGTACCTAATATCCCGACGCCAATCGCAACTCTAGACTGGAAACAGAGCCTGATGGTACACCAGCCTGCTAGATTAGCTGCAGGACTGCAGGACTTGCAGACTTGGATAACTGCGCGTGGGGAAAAGGAATCGTAATGGATCCGACGCCGGGGGGCCATGCGCCATGTCAGCCTCCTTCACCGCCCTTCTGGACCTCAGATTTCCTGTCTTCCACCAGCACCAAGCACCATCCGTGAAAGCAAACAATCATGCGGCCTTTCCGATTCACCGATTCCTCACTTTGAGCGTACCTATTGCTCCCGCGCCGGGCTCAACTCAACCACTCCTGCGATGCCCCAGGCACAACAAGGAGAGGGGTAGCGCAAGGGCAGTCTGGCACCCCAGGACCCAACAACCACACCATCCCCAAAGGCGACACCGATTTTTCGGGTTCAAGGGTCCTGGCCCAGTCGATCCGCCCTCCATTCAGACCATGCATTGCATGTGCATACGAAAACAAGCTAGGGGAAGAGGTGTCGCTCGGACCAAGAACGCCACATAGTCACCGCATCTTTGACAGCTGACGCAGAATAGCAACAGACACAAACGTAAAGAGAAACAAGACTGATCAGCTCTCGACTACCATGGTACTCGGTACCTGACTGGGTCCATCCATGCCTGATACCTCCGCCTCATCCTGATCCTAACTTTCCCTATGCCACCATCTCCCATCATGGTGACACCGCTACCCGTTGGGACCTGCATAAAAAGGGGCTCTCTCCTTTCTCTGATCTGAGCATCTCATCACAGAGTTTCTTCTGATCTCGTCCGGGAATCAGCATCGTACGACGAAAGAGATACACAAGAGGGAATACCATCGTTTGAATTTCCAGTCTTCCAGGTTACCAAACCGCCAAATCACTCAGCAAACATGGGTCGGGGCCACTACGATGTCGCGGGTATTCTCAAACCCATGGGACCTCAACGGCCTTCACCAAAGCGTATGGGAAATGTCAAGCAGACGACAGGCAACTTCGGGATGCCGACTCCCACTTACCACTTCACCCGATGCTCTTCTCGGCCGACTTCAAAGAACCATTGATGCTCGTTATACGCAAGCCAAGCTGGTCGACTAGGACAACGAGCATGAGGTCTACCTGGCTTGGCTCAACAGACAACGCATCATGTCAGTCAACATGGTCAGCAAGCTGTGCGCAACTTGTTCAACCTCTTCGGACGTGCCATCCGCACCGACGTAACCCACACCAGGTCGTGCGACCGGGCACCATGACCAACACAATTGGCCTAATCGAATCTGGCACCTCTCTCTGCATACACTCGCTATATTACTATTTGGCCCCTGCGCCGGCATCGTCTTATGTTGCCTTCCTTGACGCTGCGCACGCGGACCACGTCTTACATTTTGCCTCTTTTCGGTGTCCGATGCACGGGTCAACACTGAGTATGAAACTATGGAAAACGGGCCGCAAAGGAGTTGCGGTGGAGTCCCCATGTCTGAACAAGCAATCAATCCTTTATGTCACACCCCCCGACGGGGTGTGAGATCAGATGTGGAGATATGGGGGTATGGGAAGATGCGATCTCATGACTACCGGAGGACCTGCTACACAAGCACAACATCGCTGATCCCGTATCTTTTTGGATTTTCTCAGTTGGGGGGCTGTCGCAAACCAGCAAAGGGCACTATATGGTGACTGCATACCGCATCGGTCGGCCAACACCAACGGTAGAGCCTGAAAGCAACCTGCGCGCCTGACCTGACCCTTTTTCCTTGTTCTCTACTCGTCGACAGACCGACAGCACAGCAGCTGGACTTGACCACTTACCCATTTTTGTTTCTCTCCGTGGCTGGCTGGCAGCATGGATGGGAACCTTTGCAACGACCATCCGATCTTTCGGCCACTTTGGAACTGAGCTGAAAACCGCCCCATGCGAAATATGCAAGCCATGACCAATGCGGGACGCCGTATTGCGTAGTTAGAGAGGGCACAGAGTTGTGAGTTGATTTGAGTGAGGGAACGGTAAAAGATTTGCGGAGACTGCACGGGGGCACGGCTGAGAGTTGAGGCTGAGCGAAGGGGGAGAAAAAAGGGCATTAATATAGCATAATATGACATGATGGCAGATGCATCCATTCATTTCCATTGTGGTTTTGGTCTCTCTTCGTTCGTACGGCCCCTTTTTTCTTTCGCCGCTGAGACGTCATTATTATTCGCCTTGTGATTGATCATTTACCTCAAAAGCCTTGCGATTGCGACTGCGATTGCGATTGCGATTACCAGGTATTCCATCGCTTGATATACATTGGCACGTAAGTCGCTTTTGCTGGGTTGCATTTCTTGCTTGCTTGCTGGCTCAGGCTCAGTGACTTGTTGTGTATGTACTCGTACGTACTGGTAGGTACAAGGTGATCAGACCATGTGCGTAAAAGTACGACCAGTCTGTGCTGATCAAGAACTTGGAACCACTTTCCTCGTCTTGGAATATATCTCGTGCGATCCAGCCCGTGGGATAGATTGATGGGTTACCTAGTACTAGCCAAGTACCTACATATATATGTATGTAGGTATATAGGTATATAGGTATATATAGGTATAGAGAGGTAAATATCCCCTCTGCGCTCCGGCACAAAATCCCATCCCATCCCATCACCTCCAGCCCGGGAAACCACGCACGCCGTGATATGTTGCTATATGCTTGCTATGTGGGGTATCATTGAAAAACAAAAAAAATTTTCAAGTCAGAAATCATAAACCAGCTCAGAATATAGCCTAACCCTCCGTCCATGTGGCATCCGGGTTCACTCAGATCCCAGATCCCTCTTTCTCACTAGGGAGTTGGTGTACGGCAGAGGTGGAGATGTTGAAGGAAAGGTCTCTTAGTAATGTAGTTGTTGGCGACACTCACTGGACACATAGGCTGTTGTAAAGTGCCAGTGGGCTCGCGAAATGTGATCGTCAAGTTCATTGTCATATCTCGACCCAATTCAAGACCTCTCCAGCTTGCGGATCTCACTCTGCATCACAGCCACCAAGCTGTCCGTGGCTGCCTCAATTTTGCCCTTCTCCACGTGTGTCAATTGTCCCAGCACCCACGCACTCACGTCATCCTTCTCTCGCGACAACGGACGCCCGATGCCAATGCCAACTTTGATGAACCGGTCGCCCATGGCAGCCAACAAGCCCGCCGATTTCAGCGACGACTGTACTGATTTGATCCCGTTATGTCCCTTTGGTGAAGACTCGCCCCGGCGCAACTTTATCGTGCCAGACGACGACTCAAGTTCGTCATGCAGAATGACCAGCGCAGTCACGGTGTCATCAGTTGCAGGGTGCAGACTGTTGAATTGTTTCCACGCTTTTAACGTGCCCTGTCCAGAAATATTCATCATGCTCCCGCTCTGCCAGAGAGTGTACTCATCGCGACCGACGTCGGCGCCAGAACTGACCAGACCAGAGCCGAGCAGCTTCGACTTGGCGAGGGGCGGGAGGTCCAGGCGCGAAGCGAGGTGTTTTAGCAGGATGTGCCCAGCTGAGTGACGTGTCGAATGATATGGCGGGGGATTGCCCAGAGAGGCTATCAGGAGACGGACGCTTCGCATCGGTAATTTTTCGGATGGAACTTTGGGTTTGCGAATGCGCAGCGGAGATGGGATGATAGGTGAGAGCGCCGAGTCGTTTCCTGCAGCAGCAGTCGGAGAAGGGGAGGTTATGGGTTTGACTGGCCGTCTCTTGATGGCATTTTGCGTCGATGGTGAGTGTTGATATTGGGCTGGTGGGTCGACTTCTGCTTCTATAGAGGAGTCGCGGGCGGAATGATCGACAGGTTCAGCCCAGAATATGTCCTGCGACGGATCGTGATACTGAGTGTACGAGGGTTGGGAATTCGACAGCTTTTGCTGCTCGTGCTTTGCCTGCGGCTGGCTCCAGTCAGCCATGATTTACTTTTCCCCTTTCTATTGCGTCGAGGTCCAACCCGGGAATTGAGAGCAGGAGACACTTACCTCTTTGCAAATGAGTGACGAAGAGTTGGTCTTTTGTTTGCCTGAAGCTCTTTGTGTGAGTCAATTGAAGACAAAAGCTCAATGAATGACAAAGACGCGGCGAGGCAGTGGTGGCAGGTTTAGAAATGGCTGCGTCATTTTTCAGCGCAGCGGCTCGATTGGGTTTAGACGCCAAGCAATCAATGACTCGAGATGTGGCCGTTTGGTGGCCGTTTCGGGCTCTTTCGCACGTGCCACACCAAGCATCGAAGACAAGCCCATGGTGACTGTTTACGCTGTCGAGAGCATTTGAGGCTGAGGGATGATACTTGTTGAGTCCAGCTGGATACTCGAAATCGGCGCAATCGGGTTGGTTGGCCGTCAAAAATCAACTTCAGGGTTCCTGTGGCCGACAAGCCTAGTGCTTCGGGTCTTCGCCTGCTGCCGGCCTGAGCGAGGGAGGCGAAGTGTTTGAAGAGTTGCTTCTGACAAGTCCCCCCTGGGGATCGCCTAGATGGTCGCCTTATCACACACCCTCGTATCTTCGGTGCGTTACATCTGGGCCCGTGATTTCCTCATCATCCAAGGGGTACAGACGATCCAAGGTCCAGTCCGTGTTAGCTGCAGGTGGTGGTCTTCGAACAGATCCGGCACTACTGGTGCTGCTCGATGCCGTGGCGGCTTCGATCCTGACTTCTTTTTCTGCGGCCAACTCACCATGTGTCCAGGGATTGGAGGTGTCGTCTTTTGTCCGGTGAAGTTTGAGGCGATGCCACGATGACTTTCTATCGTCTCCGTCTGTTCGGCTCGCTTGTCGCGATCGCGATTGACTATCCAGGGCAATTGCATCCGGACTGTATCCATGAAGTTCTCTCGGGTGTCCCGCCTGCAGACGGCCGGTGGTCGAGTCGCCAAAGAAGGATCGCAGATTGAAGATCCGTCGGATCAGTGCCCAGCTGTAAGGCATATTCGTGACAATCATGGCAGTGCTTGCTTCGCGGCAGTACCAATACACCCACTCGGAACTGTAGGGATGAGTGAAACTCAGGCGCTTGCTCAAGATTGCGCAGAGCATGGTAAACAGACCCAGGCTGAACGGAAACACCAGGAGAATCTTCTTCTTGAGTTCTAGGTGGGCTCTGACAAAGAGCGGGAGAGGGATGGACAAGATCAAGACGTCGCTGCTGAGGTTGAAGACCAAGTTCATGATGAGATGGTGCAAGGCCGTGGTGCACTGCGTGTTGTTGGTCGGAGTTTGCCAATAGTCGTGGAACGGTCGACACCAGACGGCGAAATAGAAAATTTCCATGACGACGTAGGTGATAGCGACATATGCGGAGGCGATTTTGACCACTAGGGCTTGCTTGAGATTCTGAGTGAGGCGCCAGTAGAGAAGAAGGAGACAACACTTGGTTCCCCTGAGGACTTGTGTTAGGTCGTGCAGATATAGAACGAGTTTCAGGGAGGTAAACTACCATTGCACAGCGCACATGCACTGTTCGACGAGGAGAACAGTCTTGGATCCCCAGGTACGCTGGGATATCTCCTCGGGCGTCAAGACAACAGGGGTCGCGGGATCGATGAGATTGGTCGAGACATTCAGGTCAATGTTGAGAAACACGATCAAGATAGTATATAGACACTGTAGCAGGCCATGTTTAGTTCACCGAAACCATATTGCGCCGCATCGGGGGAGATTTACCGTCAGGAACATCATTAGGTAGTCCTCGATCTGGAGTCGTAGCAAAGACCTGAATAGCAATAGGCGTGACGCCCTGGACAGAGCCAATGTTAGACTCTCTCATGGTTGCCATTGTGGACTGAAACCGGGTCTCACATACATGCGCGCAAGGACCATACATATGGTCACCGAGTACCATATCCATGATTCCACCACGAAGGCAGTCATTGTTGTCGCTACGTATCTTCTCGTATACCTTGGGATCGTTGAGAGAATACAATTGACGATAGAGTAGGCGCAAATGAGGGTTTCACCGAAAGAGCAGATCAAGTCGTGCGATCGAGTCCTCTAGCCAAGTCGGCATGTTTGTGGAAGACGAGATGCAAAGAAGAAATCCAGGTCGTCCTTTCAAGTCGAACGAGGACCAGTCGTTTGCCAGAGCAAAGAGGCGGTCGCACCACTACAGAGATATCATGCAGACGGAGGGGACACCGAGTGATAAGAAGGAAACGCCTGGGGTAGACGTTCACCTGGGAGAAGAAAGGTCACGGCCCATTTAGCGAGAAGCGAGGCGGTATAACTGGGCACGCAGCGTCACTGGAGGGGTGGAAATTCGTGACCGGGGGGATGGAAGTGGGTGAAGTCGAGACTCGAAGCTGTACCTCGTATCGGCATAGCGAAGAGGAGGCAAAAGAAACGGGCCATGTTGGCTAAGATCGGGGATCGTCTGCAAAGGCGACTCAAAGGGTGTTTGTTCTGGTTGGACTAACGGGACGCCGGTCCAACCCAGAAAGCCACTTTTCCCCTGCTGTGGTTGTAAGATGATGATGAATCCTGGGCGGGTGGATTTCCGTGGGATGGATGGGGGAGATCAATAGGAAGGGATCCTCGTCAAACCTTCAGGCTGTTCCTGAGAGGAAGGAAACTCGAGTCGTGAGGCGGCAGAAGAACGAGACGATTCTGTACCGGCGTCTGTCGACGAACAAGGGGGGAAACTGGGGCATCCTGGTGAAGAAGTGAAGAGGTGACGAGGTGGAGAGACTGAATGGATGACGAGGTTCCCGGTGGGTGGCACCCAGTGGTACCTCGTATGGGTATCGGAACCAAAGCCTTGTTCCTTACCTATTGTGTATAGCGAGCTAGGTACTTACTCAGTTTCGTTAGGGTTTCAAGATAAGCATCAAACGTCCCCCCGGGAAATGCCTAGTCGCCTAGACTCCTTCTCCCATGCACCCCTGAACTTCTACGTAGGTACGAGTAAAACCCCTCTGTCGCATGCCTCTGGAGTACCTGGCGCAGCCTTGGTGCCTGGCCAGAACATCTAACAGGCCCGTTGACGCATGTTTGGCGTCGGGTTGGCACCCGTTGAAACGCCTGGGCGATAAGAAGAACGTGGGATCCCAAACCACATGGCCGCAGACATGCCACATCTTCGTATCTGCAAAGCTACGTGATAATTTATCACCATCTCTTCTCTTCTCTAATCCCCTTTTTCACTTAGCACATCTCGCCATGTCGTCCCCCTTTTTTTCTTACTCTTTTCTTTCTAATGCTTCTTGGATCAAGGAGACCGGTTGACGTAACTTTGAACGAATTCCATGTGGTTGCCACGCAATCAAGAGGTCAAAAATTATCAGCAGGAAATATCTTCCGGCAATTGGCAATGGGTTTCTCTCAAACATCGCAACTTGATTAGGTGTTTACTTTGTCGTATCCTTTGTATTTCCGGCTCAGGGGTATCATCTAATATGTTCTCGTCATGTGCCATTTTTGCAATTCCAAAAAGGCAAATCCTGCTTTCAAAAATGAGTGAATGCACCATCCCTCCCAGTAATGACCGTGTCCCCTTTCCCGCCCCTTTAATGGTCCCGTATTGTTGTCCTTTTCAAACCCGTCCTCTTGAACTCCTGGTGTGTGTGTAAGGCACAATGCCACAGATCCGAAAAAATGTCAAAAAAGAATGGATGGAGCGTCGAGCATTCCCTCAGCCTCTTCCACCTCCCAGGTTCTTATTAGCTCCCGCTTGCATCTTGCGCATCGCTTCACGATGCAGCTCTTGCATATCCGGCCGTCGCATGACTTGGTCCATCGCCAGCTGTTTCCTTTGCTGCATACCTCGTTGGTATTCTTCCATTAATTTCTGGTTTTCCCTGTCCGCCTTCATTTGAGCGTGTCCGGCTTCCGCCATTACTCCATTGATGCCCTTGCTAGCAGCCCGGTGTTGCTGTGACAGTCGCCATTCGGCAAGCAGAGACTCTCGCTTCTGCGCGTCACTCCTGTGGTCTCGCTGATTCGGCTGATGCGAGTTGTATGACTCAAGTCGAGTCCCGATCGATCCCCCTGCCTGGTTGCTGCTTTGACTCAATGGCCGCGCCGTTTGAACCAGGTCATTCATGCTAACTGAACGCGGCACGGGCGTCACATAGGCTGTTTGCGGTCGCAGCCCACTGTTGGTTCGCTGCGGCATCTGGTACGGGGATGACATGCGTCGACTTACCCTTTTAGGGCTGGTAAATTCCATTGGAGCATCTTCATCGATCGGCGTCGAGACAAGTGACGTCTGCATTGCGGGATTGAGAGAATTCCGACCTCCCCGGCTGGCCGAGTGTCTCAAGGTTTGTGCTGACATTGATCGCGGTAGTTTGCCCGTGCTGCGACGACGCTCCTGATCCGCGACCGACCGCTGGCTCGAGGGTGGCTTGGAAACGATCCCGACGCCAGTCCCGCCTGCTTTCACCGTGGGCGGCAACGTGGCCGCAGGCGGCACTTCTACAGGAGGCACCACAGGAGCCTGTTCGGGTTGCTCTGTGGCTGTCGCCAACTGGGTTGGGAGTTCATCGTCAATGCCACCAATTGCCTCCGGCTCGTCATAGACCGGTTCATCGGCCATGGCAATATGCTTTGCCCATTCGTTGGTGCGATAAGACAACACCACACTCGACAGCTGGCTGGGAACTTGGGCGAGAGCATTCTTGGTCAGAGAATCTGCGCTGGAGTCGGTGGCATCAGATGTCTGAGAGTGGGACCTGGTTACCTCCCCTGTCTCCGTCTTTGCTTCGCTCCCCTCGGGCTTCAGACCTCCGTCCGACTTCGAACTTTCTTTAGGAGACTGTCCATCGCTTTCAACGATTTGTTCGAGTTCCGGGGTCTTACCGACAGTTGATCGTAGGGGAGCTTCTGTATCACTGTGGACATTCTCTTTGGGCTCCGACGTCATTGGAGCCGGGTTTGATGAGTTGGTAATGGAGGACACAACAATTTCTGGCGGCAACGACAACGACGCTTGTGGATCGAGGTCGAGGTCCAATGCCTTCACATCCAACTCTTCGTTGTCCACGTCCATAGTCGCAGCAGCTGAGGAAGCCCTGCTCTGGGGTCTTTCACCGTCGATCAAGTGTTCTTGTGATTCGGAGCCGCCGCCAATATAGTTCGCGCTCAAATGTTTCGACCGGCGAGAAAGAGAGGCCTCAGACCCTCTTCTAAGCTTGGGAGACCCGCCGAGCTGGCGTGGTGGATCGTTGTAAGCGTCTTCGTCTGTACTCACATTATTCGACGTGCTGGAAGTACTGTGCGTTGCAGAAGAGCCACCACTGTCTTTCCGTTCTGTCCTACGGCGAGTCTGTGAACTCTCAAGAGCTTGAAGGGCTTTCTTGCGCTCCTTGTCGGCGAGGGCGTCCGTGTCCTCTTCCACCTCTTCAATGACGTCGACCGTCATCGTGCTCTGCCGCTTCTTCTTCGACCCGTAGGTTGATGAGGCTCTCTTGGGGCCAAAAGCATTCAGTTCCACGCTTTCGGAAGAACTCGAATCGTGCGCCTGATCAAGGGCCACGACTGACACGGCCGAATGTCTCTTTTCCGGATGAGCATCCTGCCACAGGACCGTGTTGCGCTTGCTGGCGAGTCGATCACCGTATTGCTTCTCCCACTCAGACTTGTCGCGCTCGTTCTGTCGCTGGAGATGACGGCCCAAGGCTGCCTCCATTGCCTCCATCTGTCGGAAACCCTCTTGGTCAAGCTCGCCTTTCTCCCTCTGCTTCGATCTGACCATTTTCCAGAGCTTGAGTTGCGAAAGGACTCCGATAATGGTGCAGATCACAATCACGGCGATTTCGACACGTATCCCCTTTGTAAGTGGGAAGGTGCTGGTGTTCAAAGGGAAAAGGTCATCGTTGAGATCCCAGATATAAAACCAGAACTCCTTTAAGCCGGCCCTGGTGAAGCAATCGATGCCCAAGGTGAATGCGGTTGCCCCACTGAATGATATTGATCCAATCAGTGCGTAAGGGCGAGTGTAGCTGGTCCATGACAAGGCCCAGAAAACCACACAGAAGATGCCAATAAACGCCCCCTTGCCTCCAGAGCTGGTTATTAGCCCACCAGCCCGCAGTGTCAACAGCCACATGCTGAAACAAAAGCCGCCCAGAAGACAGGCAAACCCTTCGGTTACCTCTTTGAACACCAGAGCACCAGCTCCGAAGACGGCGCCAGTCATGAAAATCGCCACGAAAAAGCCTCCTTGGACGGCATCTGTCATTGGGGGGTTCATCACATAATCAACCAACGCCGTTGTCGCAATGCTCGCCAAGAAAGCGCATGACAAAAAGATCTGTACCCATCTAGTCTTGACCCCGATCAAAGCATAGGTCGACCCCAGGATAATCAGTATCACTCCGCCGATTCCGAACGCCGGGGTGAGTCGAGGATGAATCGGTAGCGCATCTGACTCTTTCTCGGTCGAGGAAGCCGTGGAGTTGTTGGAAGGGGTAGCGGTGGCGGTGTGGACGGCCGAGCTTGTAGTACTGGAGAGATGCTTCGTGGTCGACAAGGACGTGGACAGAGACGAGCTGTTGACCGAAGTTGTTGATGCTGAGCCAGACTGTTGGGCACTCTGCGTCGAGGTCGGCGTAGATGTGATCGTGTCGCTTGCCGTTGAGGAAGCGTCTGTTGGAGCATTTGGCGAATCGGTCGTCAGAGATGGAAAGTTTGTGTCGGTGCTTTCCTGTCGCTTCTGTATATCTGATCCGGGTTGGGCGTAACCACTCGAGGGTAGGGCCGACCCTAGCACCGTCCAAACTAGGATTTTAGAAAGACGCATCTTGTCTGCGCACTCAATGGGAGCAATTGAGCTTCACA